TACTGTGTTTTGTGGACTAGTAGAGTAGAAGCAAAAACCCAGTAGTTGATTGGGAACTGTGTGATGTGCTGTTTCCTGTTAGTGTTGAAATTCATACCCACTATAAAACTAAACTTTCCCTGATCTTAATAATTTCTGTTGTCCAAGGTATTGCCTCCATCTAATTATATAATCAAGTCTGTTAAATAACCTTTTGGAAAAAAAGCTAACCCATGTATCATTTTAGAGCCTTAGTACCTTGTCTATATCTGTATGTAGACACTCAAATGTAAATATATTTTCATGCTTCCACATTGCAAATTCTACACAGTGTAATCATTTGAGAAGTCTAAGCTAAGTCTTTACTAAGGTTCCTTTCAAAAAGCATGGTAAAAAAATGACATTTAGTTTTGTTTTTGTTGAGATTCTGTGGTACTTAAATTCAAGATAAGAGTACTGTATTTTATTGCTGTGACACATGAAAAGAATTATAAACTCTGAGCTATTCTGCACCTGAATTCATGGAAGTAATTTCCCTTGAACTCAGAAACACTTGGCAGACAAATCTCTAGTGCCCAGAAGGTGAAGGGGGAGCAGAGGAGAGAGCTGGTAGGCCAATAAAGAATGTTATACATCAGAAGTCAGTCCAACTCTTCTTTTTCTCCTCTTATGTCATCATTATCTTTATTGTTATCTCCATGTGCATCTTGCATTTGTGCTTTTATTCTCTGCTTTCCTTGCTCATTTGAGGGCTCCATTATCATCTCCATAGCTGCGGGGTAGAGCTTTTCCAAGGACAGTGAAATCCAGAGCAGTGCTTGTGATTATTTATTAAATCAGTAACAGGATAAAACTATTAATAACCATTCTTTGCATGTATACAGCACTAGAAAGATTCCCAAGTTTTTAGAACCAGACAACTGGGTCACTTAGCATGAGAACAGGAAATAATATCATGGTGGACTGATTCTTCTGTGGACCAGTGATGTATACAATTCAGCATTTGATTTCCATCTTCTAAAGCTTGTTTCTGCTTTTGAATAGGCAGCCCAGTCTCACTGAGAATATGATGCTATTTCCATGGTTGTTGCAGCAATTCATCAAATATTGACACCTGCTAGGCATCTAGTTGAAACCCACATTAGGTATACTAAAGAAAATAGCTATTCATTGGCTCTTGACTTGGCTTCTGTTTTGGGTTAAGAGATGTCCTGGGAACTGAGGAGAGGGAGTTATGTCAACATGAGTAGGGAGATGGTTTAAAGAATCACCATATGTGTTGAGGTTAAGTGTGTGAAATTCTAAGGCAGCTTCTTTCCAGCGCTATTTTCACAAAATTGCCTGTAATTGGCACTCCCATGAGCTTCAGTGTTCTCCATTTGCAACTGAGAGCCACTCTGAGGTTAGATATTCTTTTCTAGCTTTAAAAACATCAAAGCAACTGTATCCAGGCTAATCTTGATAACTTAGAATCCACACATACTTTTGGGTGCTCACAGAAGTTGGCTTTTGGACAGGAAGATTTGATCCATGTGGCACAGCCACTTTCAGGGGCTTATGTAAAACTAAGCTGGATTCATACAAAAATCATGCAGTATAAATGCTTTTATATATATATATATAGCAAATACCAGACAGTGGCCAGATACTGAAGCTAGAAAAGGCTGCCTTGTTAATATTCTACTTGTTGGCTCTGCTTTGTACCTGGCTGCCTTCAGTCTTTAAACCTTCACTTTGATTTCCAAAGGCCTGTGGATGTGGTCATGAAATGTAAGCAACTGCTTCGATGTGATCTAGGAGATCCAAAGAAACTTGCAAGTATCCATAGAAACTCTGTGGACAGAGTTCTTTTTAAAGCTTCCCTTTAGCAGAGTTCTCCCTTTTGGTTTTAAACATGGCCTATTAACTATTAAGTCCCAGCATGTGTGACTTGCATTCCAGGGCAGCAAGCAGAACCAGTTTTCTTGCCTCTAAGACCAGAATATAAGGTCACCAAGTTGGGGTAGACCTGGCAGGCAGGAGCCCACAGGGCTGTGCAGAAAACAGCTGGTGACAGTGTCAGCCCTTGCCAAATCCAGGTTGCCCCTTCTGGCTCCCCTAGCAAGAGCCTCATAAAGAATTCTCTAAAAGGTTCTTTTCACTGGTGAAGCCTTTTAGGCTTAAAAGGCCAAGTGTCATCTGGACTCACGTTGCCATTTATGAGTAGAGTTAGGTCTGACCCCTAGAGTGGGAATGGGAAGGACAGTTCTTCTATGTGTGCATAGTCATTCTGTAAAGCAGATAGGACAACTTGATTATGTACCAAGGTACCTCTTCAAGTGCAGAGGGTTGTTTGTAAAATGTGCTACTGTGTCCTTTGAATGGAAACAGTCTCCACATCAAAGAAGAACAAAAGGTGAAATGAAACCATTTGGCATTGAATGTGTGAAGCTAGAAGTCTTATTCACCATTTCCTCTCACATAGAAACTTTTATACCATCTCAGGCCAAAAATGATGTAAAGATGGGCATTTGGCCCAGGGGTTTCTCTATGAAGCTATGGGAGAAAGAGAATGGTAGCATTAACCCTTTTGATGCCCACATACACATGAAAGAGGTAGTTCCCTTAATATTTTTATGTTTCTGTTATTATTGCATCTGTATCCATTGCATCTGTATGCTGGGGATGATACAGATAGGAAAAGACCAAGTCTTTGTAGATATTTATTCAGAATAAGATACCTAGGTTAATTTATGTGAGATAAGAAAGTAATAAAATTAAACCCTTAATCTCTACATATCATTTAGATTTACTCATATTTTATTTCTAGAATCCAAAACATTTATCTTTTGGGCCTCTTATAAAGATAACTAAGAGAGCAAAATCTGCAAAAGCCAGAGAAGGGATAAACTCCAATATAATGGACTCTGGGTGCTCTTGGTAAGCAGAAGAAAAGTCACATCTAAGGCTTGGTAAACTAACCATAAGCTTTGCTGTAAAAGATTAAGAGTAACTAGCAGTTACTAGAGTAAGAAGCAGTCTGCTTTTCTTATAAAGGAAATAAGGAACAAACACCTGAGGAGCCATGGGAACACTTTTGGATGGAGCAACATCTTCTTTTCTACCTGAGAGTTGAGTTTTCTGGCCCAACCTCCCAACCAGGGGACAACTTGGTAGCCAGAGGAGATGTAGAAGGGTGGGGTGTGCTTGGCCTTTGGTAGGCACCACACCCTTTAAATCACACGTTTTCATATGTTTTGGGAATGGGAAGGGCTTAGGATGATACTTACTGTGCAATCAGAACAGTTGTCTCTTAGATGCTGCAAGGCTAAGGGCCTCAGCCTGCCCTTTGGACACAGGAGGAGGTTAAGGGTGGACATAGAAAATAGAGTTTCTGATCCACTACTGGGTAATGAGAAACTACAAAAGTTACCTGTCTCCTGTTTCACTTAGGGTTTCATCACCCAGAAATGTCAGGATGCTCCAGGTGAGAGATCAGTTACAAAACATCTGTCCCCAAAGTTAGCATAATTGGCTAAGTTTGAACTAAGACAGTCACTGATAGGAGGTGATTTGAGGTGAGGAATACCAGGAGTCAAAGCATATGTGGATGATGATTGACCTACTACCTTATCATATTAACATGGATGCTGTGACCTGAAATAACAAGAAGGAACATAGAAGTGACACCAGGTGTGAGGAAATAGCAAGGATAGCAAGTCCAGCAGCCTGGACTACAGCATGAGATCCCAAAGGGTTCATGAAGACAGTATGGGAGATATGAGCAAATTGTAATATTGTGGAAAGCATAAATGAGTCATGCATTTACCCTGAACAAGGCCCCATGGGCTTATCAAAACAGTGAATATTGGCTTGGTAACGTAATACCAGCTGTCTGATGCTCTACTTGACTGTTGATGTCACCTTGGGAACTTTGAATGCAATCAGCAGACTGTATAGTATCATTAGGTAGTCACAGCTGACCTGTGGTCAGATTATGCAAGCATGGTTAATGTTAGACATCAATGGTAGGGTGGCAGTCACAGTGAAATAAACTATAGTTTGTGACAGTGGGTTGTTTGATGGTTCCTGGGGTAAGAGAGGCAGTGGGCTGAACCTTCCTAGTCCAGGCTCTGAAACTGCATTTTTCACATTTCTTTCATTTTCAGTCCTTGAAAGGTGAAAGCTGACTGATCAAATGATAGTCAGTGGTGCACCTTTGAGACTGTGCCCTGAGAACCCCACCTGTGCTTCTACCTCCCAGCCTGCAGGGGTTGCTGAAGATTATCTAGGCCAGACTTTTCTGTCCCTCCCTTCCTCTACTAGTTAAGTAGTGGAATAGTGGGAACCAGGGGCAAGCTCTTCTTGAGCTCCTATGGGAAGAGGTTAAATAGCAGAACAAAAATGAAGAAGTAGACATAAAACAGGCCAGGTATATGATATCTTAGAGTAAGGCTGGAAAAGACTTGCCTTAAACTCAGCTGGCTGCCACTGGTTGTTTGGGCACATGTACTCTGAGCTTCAGTTGGTTTTGCTATTTTTTAGGCCATAGTTTTCAAGCCCTGTAGTACCTCAGTCTCTGAAAGATCCTAAGAAATCCAACATTTGGCGGGGTGTGTGTGTGTGTGTTGGGGGGAAGCAGCCAAGTTCCTCAGTTTGATGGACCTACTGGACATTTGATAATGGTTGGCAACAGATTCTAAGGTGTATTCAATACTGTTGTTGCACTTGGGAGGGAAGAAGTGGAACTCAGTCCAGAACTGGTATATTTCCCATTGTTGCTGCCTGCCCTTTCAGTTGATTGATTGTTTCTGGGCTGTGGTGGCAGCTTCTATTTTCTGGAATACCTCAGGAAGAATAAGTGTATTCTCACTATGTGAGTGGGTGTACATCTGAACAACCCTGGGTTTTTCCATCTCTTTCCTTAACTGGCTGCCTGGGTTTTTGACTGCATGCCCTTGCTCATCTCTATCCACCCCAATCCTTCCTCTATCCTTATAAAATCTCTGTACCCTTCACTCCTTTTTCTTCCTTCTTCCCAGAGCCAAGCTATGAGAATTGTCCGGACTGTGGGGCAGGCCTTCGAGGTCTGCCACAAGCTGAGCCTACAGCACACGCAACAGAATGCAGATGGTCAGGAAGATGGGGAGAGCGAGAGGAACAGCAATGGCTCAGGAGACCCAGGTAGGCACCATTGCTGCAGTGGTTGTGGATGGAGACCAGGTTGACACAGTGTGGACTGGTGGACCGCTCCCATAGATGCCACGCTAGTAACTTACTTTAAAAACATTCCATTTTTTTCTATTTCTCTTCTGAGTTCAAACCCTAGTACCACCAAAAAAATTCTGAAAGTTCACATGCCTTTCAATCCCTAAATTATATTCAAATTATTTCTAAGAATTTGAAAAGTAAATCCATATGTGTGTGAAGTGATGTGTATGCAGTATAATGTTAGGTAAGCAAAGAATCAGTTATAAATCCAAAGACTGGAAATGGCAAGAGGTAACTCTTAAATAAATTATGGTAGAAATAATCAAATACTGCACAGCCATTATAGGTGAGTCAGCTGTTTATGATCTGATACAAAGCTATCTTTCAGATGTTGTGTTCATTTAAAGACATCAAGGTTTAGTGCAGTAGATATGCTGGACTACCATTCATTATATTGCATTACAAACACATAGGTATAAGTGTTTGTGTATATATAAGTGCACCCACACAGGGGTACACACACATTTGTTATGCATAGAGTATCTTCAGTGTGATACACAAGAAACTGGCAACTGTGGTTCATTATAGGAAAAGGAACTAGGTGGTTGGGATGGCAAGATTTACTTTCCACTGTACTTTTATGACTTTTCTACTTTGGACATACATTAGTCATAAATTTAGAACACATACTCATGTAGTGCTCAGTTTCTGTGTGACCATAGAGAATCCCCTTATTTCTCTGTTATCTCATTTGTATTGAATAGTGGTCCTCTTTTCCTAATGCAAGCATCTCAGTGATCTTGACTAATAAAAAATGATCACTTAGCTAGAACCTTGTGTTTTGTTGTATGCCCTTGACCAGTCATGGCTTATTGCAGGCCATAGTACAAATGTAAACCTTAAAATCTTTCTATTTCTGTGCTCTGAAGCTTAGAGTTAAAAAAGAGTTATAGGTGGAGTTTGGCAAACGTTTCATATTCCCTCTACTTGTTAATGAGTGAGACCATAATGGTGACAGCTCCTGGAAGCCTCACCTGGAGGTTCTAGGGAACCCTTGGGGCCAGCTGCTTTGCTCAGAGAACAGAAGCTCATCTGCTCATTTCTGCACTGATGATGCCATCAGAATGGCTCACTGGGGGAGACTGAGGCTTTGCCTGTTCATGCTTCTTTGATGATGCCCTGCTCCCTTGGTAGAGAGCTATAGCCTGACTCAAGAGCTTTCAAACCCTTGGTCACAGGCAGCTGGTATATATGAATTCAAAGAAATTCTAATGAAAAAGTAAAGGGCGCTGTCTCCAATGAAGCCTCTTATTCCTGGAGTGAAAGGGATCAGACACAGGAGAGTGCCCAGAGGCTGAGCATTTGAACACTGTTGTTATAACACAAGTCCTATCCGAGGAACTTGTTCTGATCTCCAAGTAGCTAATCAGAACCCACCAGTCAGCTGATGGCTACAGAGGTGCTTTTGAAGAGAACTGCCCAAGTGGTCTTTCTTACAAACAAGCTGAGGGGTAGGTCTTCTTTCCCTGCAGTAGGAGCAACTCTCTCCTTCCGCCTCCAACCATCTGCTAGGTGGGGTGGGTAAATGTGATTTCCTGGGATGCTGTATTCTCTCTGGGGAGTCAGTGAGGATTCCAGTAGGGATTACTTCCTATCCTTTTCTGTCATTCTCATTCCTCCATTCCTCCTGTGTACGCTGAGCTCCTTCCTATACCAACTGTATCATGGACCTTTTAACCACTGTTAATGTATTCTCTGTGTCAAAGGTCACTACACCCACCCCTGTGCCAACAGCCTACTCATCCTTCTCTCCCAGCATCATATCTTCTGGGAAGCCTGCCTTCTGGCTCCCGGTCTCCCACCCTTCCCTCCTCCTTTCAGAAAATTCAAATGCTTTTTTCTTCTGGGTTCCTATGTTCTCTTTACTCCAGGCTGATGCAATTGACATTAACATTCAACCCTCTGTGTACCGGGCAGAGAGTGTCCACTATCTTTAATGCAGTAGGAGCTCTGGGAGCTCCTAGCACAATAAATACTTGTTGAATAAACTGACAAACACAGTCAGTAAGTGTGGCCAAGGAGCACATCTATATTAGTCACTGTCAACAAGCATTTATTAAATGTTTACTCTATGCCAAAATGCACATGGAGATTGAGTAGAGATTTCAACAGGCTGTGACCTTTAGGCTACCTCATTGATGAAGAATGGGCTGGGGGAGTCAGAACTGAGGTGATAAAGCACAGAGGGTGAGACCTGAAGGCTGACCTGAGTATTGATGAGAAGGCAGTATTGGAGACAGTGGCTACAGATAGAGACCTGCATGGTTACCCTGTTTTGGCTCTAACAGATGGTCAGTTATAGAAGTAATGGGAATCATTGCTTCTCCTTTTTATTTCCTTTTTTAAAAAACAACATTAATATATGTGAACTTCAGCTTCTTGGTGTTTTCAGTATACCTCTCTCCCAAAGGAGAATGTAATTGTTGTTCTACATGTAAAAATATCTGGGTCCATCTTTGAAAAGCCTGTCAGACTTAATATAGTTTCTTCAAAGTTTAAGATGTAAATAGGCACTGATTGTATCTTCTCAAGGAGGTCAATCAAGCTTGGATTGGTGTGCTGTAAATCACATTAACGTCCCTGCAGGGGAAGTGAAGCACCCTGGGCTCACCCCTGCTCTTGTAGATAAGGATATGGCCTGTGGAGTATCTGGAAAAAAATACACACACAAACACAGAGAGAGAGAAATTCAGATCCAGTTTTTGGTGGGAGTTTGAACTCAGGGTCTCATGCTTGTTACGCAGGCACTCTTACCACTTGAACCACTCCACCAGTCCTTTTTTGTGGTGGGTTTTTTCAAGATAGGGTCTTGAGAACTATTTATCCAGGCTGGCTTTGAACCATGATCCTCCTGAGTAGCTAGGATTATCAGCATGAGCCACCTACACCTGGCTGAGATCCATTTTAAAGAGTTGGCTCAAATAACTAGAAGCTTGGTCAATCAACAACTTGCAGAATCTGGTTGGCAGACTAGAGACCCAGGGAAAAGTTAAGAGTTTGAAGGCCGCCTACTGGTGGAATTCCCTCTTCCTGTCAGAAGCTCAGTCTCTGTCAAGTGACTGGATGAGCCTGCCCACCTACACAGGGTAGTCTTCTCAATTCATAGTCTACTGATTTAAATGTTAATCTCTTCTAAAAAATACCTTCCCAGCAATCTCCAGAATAATGTTTGATCACTTACTAATCCCACAGACAGTTAGCCATTGCAGAAGCAAAGAAGGCAGTGTGGTATGATGAGAGGGCTGAGGCAGCAGGCTAGCCACACAGGGATGTGCATCCTGACCCTATCGCTTCTCGGTGAGTGAAACTCAGCAAACTTCATGTTCGTTCGCTCTGGATGTTGTTTCTCCTGTCAAGTGTTGTGAGAGAGTACAAGTAAATGAGTCTAGTGTCTGGCATGTAATACGCTCTCAGTAAGTATTAGCTAAGGTACTAAGGCTCACTCTGGAACACATGGCCTCATCTGTGCTGTGAGGGAATTGGACAAGGAGATCTCTGAAGCACAGTAATTTTACAACAGATCTGTCCTAGTTAAGTGATTTATCAGGTACCCTATGATTGCCATGTAATGCTGTGATCATAAAGCTGAACATACTTTGAGTATTAGCACTTGGAATTACCACTTGGATGTGGGGTTTTTTAAAATGTTTTTTTATCCAGGAAGGCTGCATACCACCCACCCCACAGTCACTTGCTTTATCCTGCACACTCACTTTTTTACTGTCTACAAACTGTTGGCAACATCAGAAGCATTTACTGATCCCATCAGGATTTTTCCCTATAATGGGGCACCTTGAGGGTCCAGGAGCGAACTATGGGTTGACAGTTTTTTGTTTTTTGTTTTTTTTTTTTTAAAACAAGAATCTGGCTTCTGTGTTTGGGAGCTTTTCATTTAATATGGTGCTGCTCCATGTGATAAGATGGCAGTCCTTTGTTGTGCAGAGTTTACCCTTGGGAACTGGAAAGTGCAAGTCCTGGAGGCTTCCGTCTTCTTTGATGTGCTGTCAGTGCTTTCTCTTCTGGGTTTCAGGGGCTTTTAATGATGTTATTTGGTTTCACTGTGTGTGCCTCTTCTCTCCTTCCCACTCTGCACTGGTCTTTCTCTTCTCCTTCATTCTTTCTACTGTTCCCTGCTCTGGGGGAGATTTATCTTTTGGCAGCAGATGCCCTTGGCTGTCCCTGGGGCTCAGAGCCAGGTGGGGCCACTGTTCTTGTGCTGCTTGCCTTGTTGTGTCCTGTGCTGTCTCTCTGACTCCTCTTGGAGAGGGTTTCCTGGGAGAGTTCCGGTTCCCCTGGAGGTGGCTTCCTCCCACAGCCACAGCCCAGCATGTGCAAAGATCTGGAAGAATACAATTCTTAAACATGAAATTTTTGCCACGCATGGTGGTACACAGCCATAATCTTAGCACATGGGAGACTGAGGCAGGAAGATTGTGAATCAAAGGACAGCCTGGACTACATAGCAAGTTTGAGGCCAGCCTGGGTTACATAACAAGATCCTGTCTCAAACAAAAAAATTCACATGTGTGCGTGTGGCAAGAACACCTGAACTCTACCATCTTAGCAAAAATTACAAATACAATGTTATTAACTAGAGTCTTCATGTTGTACTTAGACCTCTGGACTTTCCCATTTATATACCTATAATTTTGTATCTTTTACCTGTAGCTCACCCTTTCCTCTCCCATCTCTACCCCTTGGAACCACCATTTTCTGTTCTCTATTTCTATCTATTCAACTTTGGTTTTAGATTCACATATAAGTAAAAAAATAAATAAATAAAGAGAGGGAGGGGTAACTGTGAAATGATGGGTATGTTAATTTGCCTGACTATAGTGACCATTTCATTATGCGTAAGTATACTAAAACATTACGCTGTACCTTAAATATATATCCAATAAAATGCAAAATAA